ATTTCTTTGCATAATTCTCTAATTTCTTCAAATAATTCTAAATTCTACATATTTAATAACAAAAAAATATAGTATATATTTAATATAGGTCAGTGTATTAATATAAAAAAACATACCCATTTAACCAATACACTATTTTCTTGCTCTAATAAATGACAACGTTCTATATAATAATTACTATTATTTTCTAATAATGCTACGTAATCTTTATTAAGAATAGTATGATCCATCAGTAAACTTTTATATGTACTGAGTAATTTTTTATGCCTTTCATTTAATAGCATGATTTGATTATTATTTTTAATAAGCTCGCATTTAAGATTTGCAACTTCTATGCGTAAACTAAAAAAAAATTATCAACAAAAAACTCTTGACTTCAAGCAAAAATCATTTCAATAAAAAATATTACTTCTCAATTATAGCTTTTACTTTTTCTTTTTCTGCTAAGACTTTTTCATTCAGAATAGTTTGGGTTAAACTAAGTTGACGTTAGGTGAACTTCATAAAATTTTTCTGCAACTGTAAAATACTCTGATGACTTTGATCAAATACTTTTTTAACAGGATATCCATATTTAGTTAAGGGCAGGTACTTTTCTTCAGCACGCGATAACTTGTCAATAAGTTTATCAAGTTCTCTGCATGAATCTTCTTTATGCGAATCTACTTTAAACAATAAATTTTCGGCTCGTTTGGAATCTTGTCGATATATTAAGCCCAATAACATTGTTTTATGTATTTCTTTTACATGATTAACAACTTCTGTATGATTATTAAAAGTATATGGGCAACTGGGACACTTGAATTTTTTGCCTGTGGTTTTACTAAGTGTATCAGCACTGAGATGTTGTCTTCGGGGCAGTGTCATCTTGGTAATGAGATTAAAATTCCAGACAAAATGAATTAGTATTTATATAACATATAAACTTATAATTCTTTTTTATACCTTTATTTTAAAATATTGTATTGCCCACTTAATTTAACAGTTTTTTCGATTCGTTTAAAAACTGGTTTATATATTTTAATATTTATAATATATATTAAGTCACAGTAGAGTACAGTCAGTTTTTTAGTTTATACAGATACTATAGCTTATATTATGGAATTAACAGGTTTTGCAGAAAGTTATTTGAACTACTATATAATTTATTTAATATATTACATAAAATTTAATACGTACAGTATCAATACGGAATGTGTGCATTTGATAACTAGTTATTATAAATTACTGTTTTAGAACTAGGTATTTTTTATAATATAAATTATGTAATAATATATAAAAAGGTAAATCTGTGCTTACATATCTGATATAGCACAATTACCATATACTGTACTAAGAGATCCGTGACATAATCCAGAGCTCTAACTTAATGTTCTTACACACCTCGATTGCATTTTTAAAAGTGCATTTGTATTTTGTATATATTTTTAAATCTGTTTTTTACCAATTTAACATTAAGAGTATTGGTAGTAATATACAGAAATAAATTAAAAATTTTTATTGCTTTTTTTTATTTTATACTTTATATATGTATATTTAACATGTTCAAAATAAGATGATTGGTTCTATAATTGTTATCTTGTTTACATGGAAATAATGAGCCAAAAACTGATAAATTGACAACTTTTATCTTTTTTGATTATAGAAGAAATATTCTTTTCTGAATATTAGGTAATAATTTTTCAACTGTGCTGATTACGTATTGAATTGAATGTAGAGAATTCAATTTACATGTTATAGTTTCATAAAACACATTAGTTCAATGTTAAGGATTTTTTTTTTTTTAACTATCCCCGATGTATTACATCGTGGGGCGCGTGTGGCGCTCTAATTTTCTTTATTAACTTTAATGTTTGGAACCTACAGGTTTACATATTTAGTTGCTACGTACATCACCAATGGTGTTCCCTAGCCCCACCATACCACATTATTAACAAGTTTATCACTATTGTGATAACCCGGGTCCCTGGCCAATGTTAAGGATTTTAATTCATTTTCCATGAATTTATCAGGCTGAAAGTTAAATTATAATGTCTTACGAATCTGATCAGAGCTTGGTTACAAATAGAGGTGAGAATATAAGTTTATTTCTGTTAACATGTTATAATTATAATGATCATAAATCTCTTGAATAAGCACATTTAATTTATGACAAAGTTAGTGAAATATACAATATTTTTATGATAGATGAATCAATGACTCCAACAAACAATAATGATTTCAAATCATATAAGAGGCATGAATAATCTCTTATCAATCGTTTTGACTTTAAAAAAAGTTCCTAATAATTATCTCTCTTTTATAGTACTTTGAATAATATGTTGGGAATTTCTATGGCCAAAAATAATGGTTTATTCAATAAACTTTCTAGTACAGAATATAAACAAGGTTTATATAGAAGAACTGTAAATGAACTGAAGATTACAAAGCCTTATAGCAAAAATAAACGTAAATCATAGTTATATTTTAGTTACATATGAGAATACATAATTCTTTGAATTTACTAATTAAAGCTATCTATATAGAATTCAAGAAAGAAATGATTAAAAGTAACATGATTTATGATTATGGTATTCGCATTAATTGTGACATTCTAATAAAAATTGATTGTTTATTTTAATATATATCAAGTTATTAAAGGTTTATATAATCAAAACACTCGATTAAGCCAGAAATGTACTGATTTGAACAATAAATTGGATGAAAAGAAAAGATTAAAATTGGAGACAATGTTATCTGCCTTACAAGATCCAACTCTTTGTGAAGAATTGAATAAATTAGATAAATGTCTAAAAGGTAACATGATTTATGATTATAGTATGCATATAAATTATAACATTTCTAATAAATATTAGTTGTTTATTTTGATAAGTTTTTAAAGATTTGGATAATCAAAACATCTGACTCAACCAAATTTATAACTATTTGAATAATGAATTGGATAAAAAGGAAAGTTTAAAATCAGTAGCAGTGTTGTTATCTGATTTACAACATTGGACTCTTCACAATATATATAGATTAGGGTTATAATCAAATACTAACAAATGCAATTTTTTTGAGTCTTTGTAATAGCTATTAGATTAGGTCATACAAAGTTGATTTTTCATTTTGCATTACCCATTTTTTCAAATTTCCAATTTTTTTAAGCACCAATCCAATTAATCGATTTTCACTATTTAATTTTTTTCAGCACTTGTCTAGTTTTACTATTGATACCTTAGGTTCCCAGAGTTGTCCGATAGGACCGTAATTTTGAAACCCATGTAATGCAAAACTAAAAATCAACTTTATGTGGCCTTATTCTGTTAGATTGTTTTAACTTTATTAGTTGTTCTTTTTATCTTCATTTGAAGTTCAAAAATAAATAAAAAATCCGTAATGATTATGCAAGATGTTGACAATATTCTATAATAATGAAGTAATTAGTTTACTTAACCCTAAAGTTAACTCGATAAAATATTAATTTATAAATTAGCCAATCGGACTGAAAGCCAGTAAAGCACAATATGATTAAAATATGGAATCATGTGTAAAAATAATGGTACGGTAGTTTGAGTAACATGCTTCTGAGGTTATTTATTTTTTTCTTAAGAAAATTATAGAAACACCCAAAAATAGAATTTGCACAGTTCGTATACGTGATCTGTTAACATATCAATATATTTAACACAGGTCGAATGAATATATAAAGGATAAATAACAGTCTGCCTTTTATATTCTAATAGCTATCTTTTATTTATCTATTTATAATCCGTTATGCTA